AATAGTTTAAGATGTTAAAAATAAGGAAAAAACTGTTAACTAGATTTAAATTATTTCAAATATCCCTTATTTATCAGACATTTTTATAGTACAAGTGGTTACTTTAAAATTATATTTATTAAAAATACATTTTTAATGACATCTTAGTTTCTAATAATCCTATTCTAACTGTCCTACAATCCAAAATATGGACAAACTGTATTAGATCTACGATCTAATCTCTAACAGAGTCAAGGAGCCCCTGAAAAACTTCACAAAATAGAGATTATTATTTTTTTTTTTAATTTTAAATGTAAAATAGTAATAAAGTGAGACAAAAGTACAAAATTACATACATTATTGTATCCACTCCATCAAAGTTACACATGAAAATTACATAAATTCATTTTGAAAAATAATCAATTAAGATAACACATCGAACAAGTACTAGTTTAGAAGTCAAACAACAAAAATCAGTATTTTAATACAGTCAGTTTTGTTATACATTTATTATTAATCTGTACAGTCATTTTTGTTGTTTGACTTCTAAATTAATTAAATAATCCGTTATTTTTTGCCAGGAACAACATTTTGTGCCTTATCTTACATCTTTGTAATGCATGGAATTGGAATTTTTTCCTAATGTGGTATTATTAATATTATTTATGTATGTTTTAATATAACAAAATTTTTCATTCTGACAAAGATTTTGTGCATTAATTTTCATTATCATTTTCATCTTCTTTATCATCATCTTCCAGTCACTTTTGTATCCAAAAGTCCGTCTTCAATCACTTTATGTCCTCTCCAGTAGAAATTCTTGAGGTTTCAACATTGTTATCTATGAATAAATAACATTTTAATTGTTCATTATTCTTTAATTACCTTTGATTTTTCAACTGCAGCCGCATATCATTCAGTTTCTCATCTTGCCTGTTGTGGTCATTGATACTGCTGTTTTCAGTAATATCAATCTTGATGATGAGGCCAGCTTTTTCGAAGCAACTGTGAACAGTTTTCGTAGTGACATCATAATTCCATGCTTTTGTAATTTCCAATACGCAGTCTCATTAAGGCTAATAACTTTTCATACACACAGAAGAAGGCCCTAATGGGTATTGAAATCAGCCTTTTTGCGATAATGAAAATTCCTTTTGTGATACTACATCTTATACTTATTTATCATCTCTTGATCCATAGGCTGCAGTTTCACAGTGGTATTTGAAGAAAAGGGGGAAAAAACTGCAAATTTTTTATACTTGTGTTTGATAGAGTGAAACTTGCAACTGTCTACCACTAGTGCAATTTTGCATTTCTGTACAACCATGTATTTATCTAGCTTTTTGAGCCACTTTTCTATTTCCTTCCATATTTTTACATAGCAGTACAGTAATTTTAACTTTGGTTTGCTTTCCTCTAAAACACTTTTTTTTATTTTTTTATTTTTTTAATGTTCAGTGCAGTGAGTGTTGATAAAATAAAACCAGTTTCAATAAAACCAGTCATTATTGAATATATCTTTTGTCTTTTGTTTTGTTCATTTCCATGAATTGTTTTAGTTTATGATCTTTCTGTATAATACAGTCATCTTCATTAGTACCTTTATTTTAGCCACATTTGATTTTTGCAACTACTTCATGCTATTTTTTAAATTTCTCCAGCTATTCATTGTTTGCATGAAACTCGGTTTGTCCTATAGCATTGGCAATCTCTGTAGCTTTTTCTGGTATCAATGGCTCTGATATCAGTACAATTTTTGGGCTTAGTATAATCAGCCATTTTAATATTACTTCATAAATGCACATTTTCTTGCATTTGGATTAGTGAAATCAGTGCTTGATGAAATTTTGTCATGATTTTTTAGGATTGCTGATAAACTGTTTCACAAAATAACATATTTTATGTAATGTTCTTTCTTCTTTACACTATTGTTTACTTTGTTGTTATTTTTTTATTAAGTGTCAGTTGCTCCTATTTCAACATTTTTATCATTCATAACACAGCTGTAGGGTGTTTAAATGCTTTCTCGTTCAAGAATCTCCCTCCCCCCACTGCATCTCTAACATAGCATGGAATGTGACAACTAGTAGCAAGTTGCCTGCCTTTTTTTAGGACCACAACTACACACACATACATGTCACAGCAAATGAGTAAAAGGAAAAATCTCTGAAAATAATACATTTAAAAAGTTCTTTCAATAGAGAGGATACTTTGTTATTTGGAGTTCTTTATACAAGAAAATTCACACCTTGAGTAAAATTTGACAAAAAGCTTCACTAAATAGGAGAATTCATAAAATAGAGTGTTCGTTAAGTAGAAGTTTGACTGTATTAGGTGTTTTCACCATCTTACAGTTTATTTTCCTTGTGAAAGAAAAGAGTTATACTATTTGTTACCATGTATGTAGACTATAAATATTAATTTAATGGCAAGATTTATATTCATTGTCATCTGAAAATAAAAACAGTAGAAGGTTATACTTGTATAATTATTGTTGTTACTCTGGCAATAGATGAGGATGATTATTCCTGTTATTATAAACAGTAACATAACATTAATATTTTTATTTATTTATTTTTAATGTTTTATGTTTGATGATTCTTAATAGATGTTTCATTCAAGATTAACTATTTTGAAGAAGTAAATAAGTAGAAAAGAAACCTAATTAAGTTTGTGAAATGAGGAGTTGTAAAAAATACTTCACATTGCTGAAGAGTTGAAAACAGAAATTATGGACTTAAATGTAGAAAGAATTATTCAGTTCACAGTGTGATTTAGAATGCACTTAGGTGCTATAAACAAAAATGTGAAGAAAAGAAAAAATTAGAGTGCTCAAACTATTTTATATATTTCTTGATCAATTAAAAAGAAGGGACTACATTTTGCTTGTATTATAATTTTTTGTTTGTTTGTTTTATTTCATTTGGCCTCCTTTTTTATTTATAATTAAGAGAGATATGAAAGGAGATGGTGAGAAATAATGAGGTGAAATGATATATTTTATGCTTATTTATGTATTAGATTACTATGATTTTATTTAATGCAGCATTCTTTTCACAGGGATTATTTAACTGTACTAAGAAAAGAATTCTATTATTTTATACCTACTTATAATGTAAATAAAAAAAAATATGCAAATGTAATAAAGTTTACATCTGATGATTGACAGTGTTCAAAAGTGAATATTCAAGATATAATTGTGGGCTTCAAAGTTATGAAATATGCAGAATGCTGTGGGAAGGGATTTGTATTCCCAGTTTTAGCCACTGCACTAATTTGTCTTTCTAGAGCAATGGCTCTCCACCTTTTTTTTGCTGCATGCACCCCTTTCACCATTCCTAGAAGGTCATGCCTCTATTCTTTCTAAAACTCAAAAGAATTTATTTTTTGCCCCTAATGGGAGTCATTTGCCTATGTCAGCATCAACCACTCCTAAGGCCAGAAAAACTTTAAAAATACTTATATTAATTTATTTTGGTATGGATTATTTTTAATATGTTTTACAAACTAAATAAAAGTATAGAAAATTTTGTTAAATACCAAAACTTAAATAAAAGTTTATATTCATAAATCTAAAGACTTAGCAGCTAAATAAAAATGATAACAAAATTTCCCAGATTTCTGCCATGTTTAAGAACTGTTATTCTAGAGGAAGTAGCAGTTATAAAATAGATCATAAATCTTTTCTTTCTCAATTCATAGCCCTCATTTTTCTGTTGTAAATGTATGCCAAAATATATACATAAATGATTCGTTAAGTTCAGTATTAAAAGATTTTTTTTTAATTTAGTTATGTAAAGAATGTTTTTAACTAAACTTTGTACATTACTTTCATGTTAAATATATTTATTTAATTGATTAATTTAATTGTATATCTGATGACTATAATTTACCAGAGCCAGGATCCTCAGTGGAACTCATAAATTCAGTAAAATGAATTTAAGTATAACAGTGCATTGCCAACAGTAGTACTGAGTGAATTTGCTGTGAAAAATGTAAAGAAAGAGATGCTGATAAATAAAAGTTAAACAGTTCTGCACTGAGGTATATAATATAAGGTATCAAAAACATATTTTGTTAGTTACAGTAATAGGGGAATGTTCATTTGGAGTATAATACAGATCATATCCATTAAATCTGTAAAAAATTATATCAGGTACATGCACAATTAAATGCAGTTAAGTTTTTTAAAAGTATATTCAATGCTTTCATATTTCTCAGTTTTGTTAAACCATGTGCAATTTTAATTGAAAGATAAATTAAAAATCTTGGGATACATCAAATAACAATACTCGGAAAACTAGCATTGATATTACATGACTGATAATCAGCATAGTATAATAATGTGATGAAATTTTTGCATAAAGACATTTTCATAATGAAAATGTATCTTAATATTACAAATGATATTGGTTCATTAAATGGAATTTAAGCTGCAGAGATGTTTGAAATTTATGTAAACTTCAATGTAGATGCTAAAAAGTAAATTGTGAATCTGTTTAAAGTGAGATATTTTTATTGGCAATTAGGTAATCTGAATTTAACACAGTGGAATATATGAAAAATATATGGTAAAATTAATTTTACTATTGAAAAAATATATTGGTTATAAAAGCATATTCTGCAAATGTTGCGTGAGTTGAAGGCTTCCTCTTCTTTATTTTGTGTTTAAGGGTATGGGTACTTTTTTTATAGTTTGAATGAGTAATTGATGAAACAAAATCATTTATCACATTGCTATGGGGCATTTAAATTAATGTAGTTTTATCAAAGGTCTATGTAAATAATTCAAAAATTCTATATAAAATAATTAAAGCATTGTATTCTGAAGATTAACGTATTTATTTCATGAAATTGATGATAGCTTTCATGTTCTGTTCCATAACTGATTAACTAAAACATTGCCTAATTTATTAAAATATATATAAAACTTTTTAAAACTGTGTAGTGTGTATTTTTTCCGAAGAGTGATAAATTTTATAAGTACGAAAAACAATATTAAAGTATTTTTATTATTTCAGAAGGGATATAAAGCAAAGGAACCCGCAACTAAAGTTTTTGCATCTTCTGCAAGTGTGCATATTTCCCACATTTCAGAAAATGTGCAAGAAGACAGAAGTACTGTTAAGAAAGCAAAAGTAAAAAATATAATTATGGAAGAAAATGTATCTTTAAAAGATGCAAGTGATATAATCCTCAAAAATGAATCTGAATTAGAGGAGAGAAGTAGCAGACAAAATGGTTATGTTTTCAAGCCAGTTACTGACCCTGATGTCACTGTTGCAACAGATAAGAGTTCTGAAAGGTCTGATTCTGAAAAAGGTAGTTCACAACCTATCAAGTTGTTAAATACTGTGAAGCCTTTGGATTTAGAATGGCATAAACAAGTTCTAAGTATCCCTTCAATTCCAAGATATTACAAATCACTGTCAAAATTTCGTCTTACAGGTAATTTAATTTTATGTATTACAGTCAAAAGTCGTTAATCAGGACTCGTCGGGACTTTGGCGATTCCGGATTATCGATTTTTCTGGATTATAGATCATCAGTTTAAATCTGGTAAGATGGCATGCAGAAATTACAAAATTAAAAATATGAAACCGTAATTTATGAAATAAAGAACAATCAATTATGATCTAAAGGGTATCAAAATTTACAAAAAGAAAAAGCTTATTATTTATTTGTTTATTAAACATTTCTTTCAATGTAAGTTGCTTCGTTTCATGTGATAATATTTTCTCTTTAATTCTATTACACCGGTATAATTTCTTGTTTAGTTACAAAGTTCCGCTGTTCAAGTCCTATAATTGCTGTGTTGAGAATACCGACTAATTTGTCAATCGAAATGTTTTCATTTTCAATAACCTCTATGTCACTTTCTTCACTATCGGAAGCGAATTATAATGATGAGGAACTTGATTTAAATCATATCAAAGACGGAGTACATCGAGATGAAATACTACACTTAGTAAGGAATTATAAGCCAAATAAAATAAAAACATCTGAAGATAAGGATAGTGCTGGCAGATCAACTTCCAATCCGGCGTGAAATTGATAAACAGATTTCGGATTTCAAAACATACTTTCGCTTTGTAGATATAAATTACGTATTAGTAAATTCTATTTAAAATAATCGAAAGTTCAAGCTTACTTTTATGAAATTTCTCTAACAGTCTGCAAAAAATAATAAGCTGGATCCAATTCGAAGATTAAGGAACAAAGCAATGTGCAACATTAACTGAATTAGATAATTTTAGCTTAACTTATACCTCCGTTACACATTAAACGCGCATGTGCACAAACATATTCGCAGCCGTAAAGGTCTTGCGCGCTCTCATAAACGCCTGTGCGCATGCGTGAACGCGACGCATGCGTAGAAAGTTTGTAGCTTTGAGGTCCGGATTATAGATCATTCCGGATTATGGGTGTCCGAATTAACGACTCTTGACTGTACTATTGTGGGGAGTGAATGTGTGTATTTACACTAGATATTTATATTGGGTTATCTAGAATTATTGGATATCTGAAATCATATATATATTGGTCATCCAAAAATTTCTGTAGCTTTTCAAATTGAAGCATGTTTTCTTCTAAATTTTTTTTTTCCCCCCTGCTGATAAAGGGTGATCTTGATTGAATCAGATGTGTGAATGCAGTCTTTTTTGCTTGTATTGCAGAATTCTAGTATATGTTGTGGCATAATTTTTTGCTTCTTTCAGATTATATACAGCCCCTGTCAAAAATAAAATCACGAGGTGATCCACTTTGTCTCCAAAATAGTTATGTGGCAGCTGAGGTATGCATGCACACGCAGCAAGCTTGTGTTTCACTACATGCAGATTTCCACCTTACAAACTCGTGGATAATTTTTATGATTAGGGCTTATCTTTGCACTGAGCTTTTTTTCCCCTCATGTAATGAATTGTAATAGAACTGTGGCATTTGCTGGCTGATGAGGTTCCATTTTTTATTACGTGAAAAAAAAGCTTGTTTCATACATAGGGAGAACAGTTGCAAATAAAATATATATAATGACATAAGGATTTCTTGGAAAAGGTAATTATTTCAATATGGATATTTCTTGCTTTTTTAATTTTATTCACGGATTACTCTTTTATAGAATTCTTAGCGTGCTGCTATTTTGAAAATAGCTGTTGTCTTTTGTATATTAGCATAGCAAAAAAATTAGTTGCCAGTGAGTTGCTGACTTTTCAGGAGAGGGGTGAGAATAATAAAAAATTACCATTTTTTTAATTGCAGTGCTAAGAATTTAGAGCGCAGAAGTTCATTTTCATCATATTATACTCTTTTTATTTTAGAAAAAGGAAAAAGTGCTAAGACGACTGCTGATAAAATTTGCACTGTATATGGTTTTAAGTGCTGTTTATGATAACAATTCAAAGGTAGTTGAGGAGTTTAAACATTGAAATTGCAGCCTCAAAGATAATACCCATTTTAAACCACCATTCTCTGTAGGTAAGGACTTATTAAAAGAAGCTGTCTCTGAAAATCTATGTTATACTGTTCAGGAACTCTCAGACAGACTAAATATTCCAAAAGTAAAGTTTGTGATCATTTGAAGAAGATTGGGTATGTAAGCCATAATGATATATAAGCATTTGATACTTTAACAGAGTGGAATATACTTGCTCAAATTTTGAGAATGTGCAAACAAAGAAGCAAAACAAAGAAGCCTTTTTTTTTTTTTTTTTTTTTTTTTTTTTTTTTTTAACTGGCTGATTAGGGAAGATGAGACACAATACTGGATCCTGTACAAACCTTACAAGAAAAAAAAAATCATTGGGTAAGCCAAATGAACCTCATTTAGCAACATCACTAAAATGCAGTGCTGTGCATATGGTGGGACTTGCAATTATGTTATGAGTTGTTGCCACCAAATGAGACAAATTCAGAAAATACTGTTCCCAAACAGCTGTTTTAAAATTAGATATTGAAGCAAAATGCCAAGAACTGACCATTCATTGAGATGTTACCTTCCATCGTGGTGGCAGTGCTCGGCCCCGCATTCCCCAATGAATGTCATAGAAAAAATTTGGCCGAGATGTTTTGTGTAACTGACCATTTTTTATTCCTGCCTCGGACTTTAATCTCTTCAAGTCACTTCAGAATTTTCTGAAAAGCCAGGTGTTCATTTCTTTGGAGACTGTCAAACGGCACCTTGATAATTTCGTAACAAACCAACCTACTGACTGCTTTAGAAAAGATAGTTTTCAAACTGCTGTAGTGGTGGCAGAAAGTCATGAAAATGGTTCTTACATGTTTTAATGAAATTTTCTTATGTTTTAATACTGCTTCATTTATATTTATTATAAAAAAAATTGCAGAACTTTATTGATGACCTATATATGTATTGTAAAAACTGAAAAGTTAATAAGTGCATATAAAACCTAGAGCCAAATAATGTGCTAAAAGTTACTGTAAACTAAAGCTTCGTTCAGACGGGAGTGTAAAGGGCATAAGTGTTTAAAGCCGAGCTCCGTTGCCAAAGCAACCAGTCTGTGCTACGTCACAAAATTGGTTTAGGGCTTGTGGCATAGGGTTCAAAGTTTTCAACTTTACGCCGAGTTTGGGATAAGCGTCGACCAATCAGAGAGAAGCTAAAACGAAGCAGCATTCTACAGAAGATTTTGCTGTCACAAAACAAGTAGAGCAAACATAGGAAGTCAATCGAGCAGGAGAACTGCGTTGGAAAGTTGTAGACACATCTACGCATGCACAAATTTAGCTCCTCTCATTGGCCATGGCTTACACCCCGTTCTCGCAAGTGTGAGCCAAATTCCCTTATTTTATGCCCTTATAACTACGCCTCTGTGCCCTTTGTGCCGCCATCTGAATGCAGTCTTAGTGGCAAGAATCTTTGCAAACATTTTATCCTTTAATTTATTTTTTTTTTTTTTTTTTGAGTTGTGAGAAATAAAAATACTGTTGAGTAAAAGTGAATGTCTTAATGAAAATCATTAAATTATGCAGCACTGGAGAGCAAAATAAATCTTACAGAGTATAAATTAAGTAGTACAGAATACAAATAGAATAAAAACCAAACAAAACATAGGGTTATATTTTTCATATCTTCTTCAAGAGGTTGGTGTCATTAGAAATGCAACTGTAGCCACGTTTCCGAGTTATTTATTGAACAATTTAGTATGATCAAAAGAAATTTTTAATAAATAAATTAAATTAACTAAAATTGTTCATTAAACAATCCCCCTTCATGGCTATTAATATCGGAGAAAACAAAATGGTATAAGGCTGAAATTAGTCCATAAAAATAAAAATTATTTGGAAAAAAAGTGTCAGAGGAGAAATGAATAAAATAAAGTACTTGATACAAATCTTATACAGTACAAAGTCTTTAATCCGCACTCGTCGGGACTTCGGCGATTCCGGATTAGGGGTTTTTCTGGATTATAGATCATCAATTTAAATCTAGTAAGATTGCATGTAGAAATTATAAAATCAAAAATATGAAACCATAATTTATGAAATAAAGAGCAATTACGATCTAAAGGGTATCAAAATTTACAAAAAAAAAAACTTAATATTTATTTGTTCACTTTATTAAACATTTCTTTCAATGTAAGTTGTTTAAGTTGCTTTGTTTTATGTGCTAATACTGTCTCTTTAATTCTATAAATTTTAATTTTAATTTAAATTTGGATGGAACTTAAACACCAGATGTATGGGATATAAGAGATAAAACTCTAGCTTTAATTTGTAATTTGTCTCTCTCTCTTTTTTTTATTAATTTGGTTATTTCAGCTTTTATTATAGGCATTTTGCTATGAAATAATTTAACCATTTTTAATCTAACATCAATATCATAATCTTTTCTCATCGCACATGAGCCTCTGTCTTGCTAACATGTAGTTTATTATTCAGTTTATTGTCATTTGCTGTGCTGTCAGTGTGTAAAATATAAGTAATAATTAATGAATAACAGATGTGCCTTTTGCACAGTTTAGCAGCAGGTGTGTAATTCATTGATGCTAAGTGAAAAAAAAAAAAAAAATTATGTAGTACTGCATCTCAATCTTTTAAAATTAATTCTTGTATTAGCATCTTTGTCTACGTTAAACCTAAAATTTCATCACTCTATCATTCTTATATATACAGAGGTAGCCGTACTATAACACGGTAGATAGGTTCCTAGAAAATGCCGTTTTATGTGAAACCATGTATGAGACCAAGAGCCATTACAAAAAGCGGGGTTATGTTCCTAAAACTTATTAAAACAAAGTAGGTTTTTTAATTCTACGTAAATAACATTAATTTTTATTAAAAATATAAATGTATGTATAACATAAAACAAAAAATATTATTTTAATTTAACGCAACTTTAATTTAATTATTTTCTTTGTCGTCATTGCTCAGTATAATCAACTGAGAGTTTTTTTTTTTTTTTTTTTTTTTTTTTTTGTGGAAGGAGATCGTTTTCATTGCCATAATTTTTTTCTTCATTTAAAGTTCTTGCACCTTCTTCCCTCTTTAAAAAATCTGCAATTTTACTTTGCTTACTTATTCTTATCAGGTCATTGTAAATTTCTCAATATCGAGCTAGGCAGTTTTGCAGCTGCCTTTTGAATTTTTGGCTTCCTTCAGAGGAAGGGAAAGGCAATGACTTCAGAGGAAGGGAAAGAAAAATGACTTGAGATTTTCAGCTAAGGCCTTCTTTTAATTTTTTTTACTGTTAAATTATTAACTGCACAATCTTCATCTGTGTTTGTGTCCTCAGAATCGATTTGATTCACTGCTTCGGATGACATTTCCATCAAATCTGCTTTTTCAATTTCTTTTTCCACTAATAAAACTTAAACATCCTCAATAGTCATATCCAGAAAACCTTCGACTCCAACTGAATTAGAAAGTTCTAATATGCCACCAATTTCATTTTCTGATGATTCACGCACGTTTTTCTGTTTCAACTGAAAAGGGCCATATCTTCTTCCAACATACTTCGGATGAGTGGCAGGGAAGGTTGTTGAACAATGACTATCCCCGCACCTTGAAGGGTGAGGGGAGCCAGAATTCTTCTGATCGATATTTGGGTCAGAGCCTTTTTTGAGACCCTACATATCTGGCCTATATTTCACCCATCATCTTCAAAGTGGACTATGTTGGTGCTTTGCTCGATTTGAAAAACTTTGTGCGGAGTTTGTTAAATTTCTTGGGATTGCTTGGGCAATTTTTTTATCATGTTAGAACGAAACCGTGTTATAGTATGCCGTGTTGTAGGAGGGTTCTCACGATTTATGATTCGTGTTATAGCGAAACCATGCTACAGGATGCTGTGTTGTAGGAGGGATACCTATATATATATAATTACAAAACAATTCTTTTGAAAACGAAACACAAAAATGCCTAGAATTTTCGTGCATTAAGCTGCAGAAAATTATCATTAAAGACATAAAATAAGAAATTTAGAACTAATACTTGACAAAAATCAGAAATTGAAATTCATAATTAATAAATTTCAAATAAATCATATAAATGCAATAAAGAATTTAAAAATATTAAAACCAAAACATTTCAAACAAACAAAACTCCGCTTCAAAAATATTTTGAAATTTAATGAAAAATGAACAAAAACAGAAGAGGAATTCAATCAACCTCAATGTCACTTCATCAAGGGGGAGGAACTTTGAAATTAATTGAAATGTCTCTTCTACAAAAGTCCGTGCTTTTCTGTATCCAGAATTATTCGATGAATCATTTCAGTGTATTATAATTATAATAGTTCACCCAAAACTTCTGGCCCTTCCCCAAAGCAAGGACGAAAGAAAGTAAATTCTAATTAGAAAAATGAGAATAATTCTATCCTTTTAAACAATTCTTTTAAAAGGATAGAATTCTCTTTATTTAAGTTTATTTTCTTTGTTTTTAAGAATTTCTTTCTAAGAATTTACTTTGTTTTTCCCTTGCTTTGGTAAAGAGCCAGAATTTTTTGGTGAGGTATTATAACTATAATACATTGAAAGGATTCATTGGCTAATTCTGGATACAGAAAAGTGAGGATTTTTGTAGAAGAGAGATTTTAATTAATTTCAAAATTCCTCCCCCCTGATGAAGTGACATTGAGGTTGATTGAATTCCTCTTCTGTTTTTGTTCATTTTTCATTAAATTTCAAAATTTTTTTGAAGTGGGGTTTTGCTTGTTTGAAATGTTTTGGTTTTAATATTTTTAAATTCTTTGTTACATGTATATGATTATTTGAAATTTATTAATTATGAATTTCAATTTCTGGTTTTTGTCAAGTATTAGTTCTAAATTTCTTAATTTATGTCTTAAAATATATATATATATATATATATATATATTTCAAAATTAAAGAGTTGATAATGGATTTTTAATGTATTGATTGTTCAAAATAATTATTTAATTTGCAGGCCTGGTTGTATTTACAACATTAATTGGATATTCTATGGCTCCTGGTCCTTTTGAACCTGTTAGCATGATTTGTCTTACTGTGGGAACTGGATTTGCATCTGCCGCAGCCAATGCTGTAAATCAGGTTTGTTTCTTGTATTTTTTGACTCATAAAGTTTTAATTTTTTGTTACACATTACAGACATGTTCATGCACACACACACATATACACTCAATGTCTACAAAGTTCCAAGCCTAAATTCATAAAGCAATAGTTGAAAAAAAAACTTTATGATTATTTAATCTTGATCATTTTTAATTTTGTATGTTCAAAGAACTGCTGCATACTAGAAACAAACCAATGAAATACTGTTTCGTTCTCTTATTTCATTTTGCATTTTGATTTTAAATACTGTAAAAATTGTGTTCCCTAAATTTAAATGTCACTTTAGATAACAAAGTATCAACAGTGAAATTAATTCCATTTATTGTAAATTGGCATGAGTTGAAACTTCTTTTAAAAAATTTTTTCTTATCTGTTCAAATGTTGATTTGTTCTGGGTTATACATAATCAGTTTTTGTTGCTTGTAATATCTTCGAAAAGAAAAAAAAAAAAAAAAAAAAAAAAAAAATTAGAACTACTGTCTGCTATTTTGAACGAATCCTTATTGTTTCATGGGTCTTTGTCTTATTGTCTTTGAATCCGTAACAGCAAATATCTACTGCATAAATTCAAACAAAACAAATTATATTTAAATTATTTTCTATAATGATACAATATTTTAAAGGAGAAAAATTGGCATTTAACTATCATTGCATTTCAAGCTAGTAATCATCAGTTGATTATTACTTGAAAGATCCACTGGGACTTAAAAAATTTAAGGTACTCTTTTACTATCTATCAGACCCTCCTACAAAGTTGCCAGTTGCTCTCAACTAATTTTTCGCCAACTTCAGACATGAAAAATGGTAGTTTTAAAAAAGAATCATGCATTGAAAATTACTTAAATTGGAAAAAAATTAATTAAATTAAAAACATGAGAAACATCCATAACAAAACACTTGTATCTTTTCCCCTGGGTTGCTTTTTTTTATAACATCCTTGTATAACATACAGAACTAGTTTTTTGAATTTGGTACTTCTCTGTAAGTGGGGCGCTAGTCACCAAGTGTGGTAGCCTGCTTATGTTGTGTTATGAATAGCTGTACAATGTTTAATGGGCACAATGTGTTTAATGTGCACAGATAAACCTTCAGCATGTTCAAGAAATAGATTTAAATATAATAAATAACTAATACAATTCAGACTTAATTGTCTCAGTGTGCGACAGAAGCAAGACAAAATTTAGTGGAACAACTTGTCTTCCATTGCCAATCTCATGATACATAGCCAATAATGTATAGCTGATACTATTAAGCTAGGCTAAAATTATACTTTTCTGATTCCAAGGAATGTCAGTTAATACGAGGGCTATCCAGAAAGTAGATTACGTTTTGGAATAAAAAAATAAACAAAGTATAGGAAACAAATTTTATTATATACAGATGAAAGCCACACTCAAATACTACTTTTCTACATAGTCACCATACAAATTAAGGCATTTATCGTAGCGATGTACGAGCTTGGAAATTCCTTCGTCGAAAAATTCGGCCGCCTGCGCCTTCAACCACTTCGTTACCTCTTCTTGCAGCTGTGCGTCGTCATCAAAACGCATTGATTGCAATTTCGTTTCACAGTTCACATGTTTCACCCATGTTTCGTCACCAGTAACGATGCGATCGAGTGTAAAGAGTCACCATCCTTATGGTAAGCGTCCAAAAAGTTCAACGCTGCAGCCATTCGCTGATTTTTGTGGTCCTCTGTCAAGATTTTTGGAATCCATCTTGCACAAAACTTGTGGTAACCAAGCTTTTCGCTGATGATTTCGTGCAACAAACTTCGCGAAATTTGTGGAAAACTCAAAGAAAGTTCCGTTATTGTGAAATTTCGATTTTCACGGACTTTAGCATCGACTTTTTCGAGAAGTTCGGCGGTCACTATGCTGGGTCTCCCACTTCGATCTTCGTCGTGAACATTGGTTCGGCCATTTTGAAATCTTATGACCCACTGACGCACTCCACCTTCAGTGATAATGTTGTCCCCATACACTTCACGAAGCTGCCGATAGATTTCTATCGGTTTACAGTTTTTTGCAGTCAGAAACCTTATTACTGAGCGCACCTCGCAGCTCGCGGGATTTTCAATTAACGCAGACATTTCAAACCGTCACAGTATCTGAACGGAGCACAGCACGAACCTCTCACTAGCACGGCTAGATGCAGACTGAGCTGCGCAACGCTCTGACCCCAAGATGGCCGCGCTAGCCCCGCCCCTAGCGGACACAGACGGAAACGTAATCTACTTCCTGGATGGCCCTCGTATAACAGATTGCGCTATTCCTTAACTTTCTGATTTGATTCAGCTTTGTTGTTTGCAAGCTGTTGTTATTACAGCAAATTTATGAAAATTAAAGTTTTAACTTTCAATTATGTTAAAAAGAGATTCATTAAACAAAAAATGGAATTACTGCAAAAAATGGATAAAGATATATCCGTCTCAAAATTATGCAAGGAGTATGACATTGGAAAGGCAACTGTATATCATGTAAGAAAATAGGAAAAGGAACTTTTCGAATTTTTTGTGGATTCTGATGTCCTACTCATAATGAATAACAGAAAAGTTATTAGTATGCTGAAAGTGACAATCATGACAAAGTGATGATTGAATGGACCGGACAGCGCCACAGCAAGGGCATACTATTGACGGGTCCAATGCTAATGGCACAAGCCAAAATATTTCATGAAGAAATAAACTTAAAAATTCAGTGCACACATTTGACTGGTTGGTTAACCAGATTTTTGAATCACCGTGGTATAAGGCAATTAAAAATTTCAGGTGAAAATGCTTCAGCTGATACTGAAGCTTCTGAACTATTTGCAGATGAATTCATTAAACTCATTGCTAGTCAATGGCGTAGCTAGGGTGGGTCAAGGGGGGAATCTCTGGGCACAGCATCCGGGCAGCGCCAAATTGATGCTACAAAATTTTTTGATGAAATGTTTTTCATTCTTGTCACACAGAAAAGGGCACAAATTCTTCAATTGTTTCTGGATGCTGGAATCCTAGTTATGCCACTGTTGCTAGCGAAAAGTTATCTCCAGGACAAATTTACAATACTGATGAAACTGCCTTTTCTGCCAAAATGAAGAAATTCATGAAGTAATGAACATAAAACTGAGTGCACATATTCAACCAAATATATAACAAGTTGGTTAACCACATTTAAAACTCTGCATGGTATAAGGCAATTAAAAATTTCAAGTTATAAAGCTTCAGCTGATACTGAACCTGCTTTATTATTTACAGATGAATTCATTGAACTCATTAATAGTGAAAAGTTATCTCCAGAGCAAATTTACTATGCTGACGAAACTGGTCTTTTCTGGCAATATGAACCATGAAATACCTTGGCAACCTCTGCAGAAAAGGCTCCAACTGGTGTCAAAGATTCCAAAGCAAAACTATCAATTTTATCATGCACAAATGGTACAGGAATGCACAAGTGTAAACTTTTCGTAATAAAAAAAAAAAAAAAAAAAAATACACAGCCTCGAGCATGTAAAGATTTTCCTGGTTATACAGGGTGAATCTGAACAAATAGGCAAAACTTTAGGGGTGACAGAAGGCAAGTGGTGAGAAGTTAAAGGGTAGTTTTTCATTGTCACATTTAAAGAATTAGCACAAGAATGAGAGGAGATACTTCAGGAAACATTTTATTTACAGGAATTGTTCAAAGAAATTGCTTAAAAGATCTTCCGCCAACTGTAATGCAGGCTTCACACCTGCACAATGGCTTGATGCACATTTGTGAAGACACGATATATTTCCCAAGTATCGATGGCAATAATGGCAAACGTAGTGACTAGATCCATATTCATTTCATTGGGGCATTTGTTGATTAGGTTTTTCATATGGCCTCATAGGAAAAAGTTCAAATCCCAGAGATCCGGTGATCTTAGTGGCCAAGCTACCACACCACCTCGACCAATCCATCGACCTGGAAATTTCGTTGTTCTTACAACCAGCCATCGTCTCAGCAATCTACAGTAGGAAATGCCATTGGGTGCAAGGACTGACCCTTTTTATACCATTTACAATGCCACCTAGTGGGTCGGCGTTTGCGTTCTGACCATACATTCTATGATGAATATTGCTCATATAATCCATATTATTCTTTTCTCTAAGTTGTTTATCCATAATTCAGCCTATGGATATCAGAATAACGCATGTGCTGAAATGAAAATATAAAGTAGCATTTTTAAAGTCCATGTTAAATGTCTTGAATAATGGCAAGACTATTCTAAAATTTTTGAAATATTTTAGCATAACTCTGTTGTGTAAAGCATTGCAAGATCGTGATAGAATGTGTCTCCAGATACTTTAAAAAAATACTTGGCATAATTTATCCCAGCTACCATATTTCATGGTGAGGATGATGAAGATGATGGCCGCGAATTTGAAGGTTTTTGGATATCACAAACAAAGGTAAAATTTTCCAATTAATGGATTTTGTAAAGAAATGTGAGAAATGGTAATAAATGATGATATAACATAAGTTTTTCATTGCGATGACAATGTCCCCAATCATCAATCAATTAACAGACACCGAAACCTGTAATATGGTTCTAGATCCAGAAAATACTGCTACCGATAGTGAAGAGAGTGATAGAGAGGTTACTGAGTACAAAAAAAATTTGATTGACAAGTTAGTCGAAAATCTTGACACAGCATTTACAGGACTTCAACAGTGGAACTTTGTAACTGAACAAGAAATTATGTCTGTCTACAGAATTAATAAGAAAGATATAGCATAAAAAATGAAGCAACTTAACATTGAAAGAAATGTTTAATAAAGTAAAGAAATAAATATTAAGTTTTTTTTTTTTTTTTTTTTTTTTTTTTTTTGGTGTGTGGTGTGTGTGGTGTGTGTGTGTGTGTGTGTAAATTTTAAAACACTTTAGATCATAAATGCTTCATTATTTCATAAATCACGATTTCATATTTTTAATTTTATAATTTCTACATGCATTTTACTAGATTTAAAATCTTGAATCTTCAAGATTTAAAATCTTGAAATTTGCTCAAAATATGAAATAAATAAATAAATTCAAAATTTTTGTTTCAAAGTGCTCATGTTCAAGTGAATAACTATGTTTGTTAAAAATCTGGTGACTCCGTGTGCCGCTATTTTTCCACAGTACGAGAAACATGCAGACATACATGCATTCAGATTCTTCATTATTTAGTAGTAGAAATCATCATACCATAAATTTAATTATTTCTTTATTACCGTGCTTTGTTTTTTAATTTATTTTATTTTAAATTTAACTGCAAGGAAAGTTGATGCTTTATTCTATGAATTGGTTCCTGAGTTTGTTTGTTTTCTTGCTTATTTGTTTGAATCAATGACTGTATTTGGATTTTATTATGGAAAATGTTCATTCTTCATCTTCATGTTATGAATTTTTCTGAATAGTTAGAGATACTGGTTTTATATCATTTATTTTTGATGTTAGTATATATTTTCATGAATTTTTGAGGGCTAAATGAACAGCTCTTCATTATTGTAATTTGTATAAGTATTCATATTTTTTCTTTTGATTCCTTTGCATTTTGTTATTATCGTAGTTGTTCCTTTTTTTGCTTTTGATATTCTGTACTTTTTATTGTTTATTTATTTTGTGGATTATTATATATGCATTATGTATATATTTTTATTGCTTATTTGTATGTATTAGATACTTACAATTTAAAACACACTAATTGATTTTGTTAATGCTTTGAAATTAAAGATAACAAGCATTAAAATTTTGAAAATCAATATCTGCTTAAACATAGTTGAAAAAAAATGAAGCCTTTTGAAAATGGTAGCCAATTTGTAAATTCTGTTCACTTGAATTATCGTGCATATTCTGAAAGGCGGGAAGAATGTTGGTTTTACAGTTCTGTTTACCTAAATTTTATATTATTCATTTATGGTCTTACATTTTACAAAATTAAGTGTATAATATATTTATTATATGTATGACTTCCAGTAAAGTCATTAAATGAATTCATTATACAGCTAATCACTTTATAAATTTTTTAAAATTTTATTTCAATTGTCTTTCAGATATTGGAAGTACCTTATGATTCACAGATGGAACGAACAAAACACAGAGTTCTAATTAGTGGTGTGTTAACGTAAGTATTTAAAAGTATTGTTGTCTGTTAAGTCTACTGAGTATAATGTTGTGGATGTTTAGTAAGTTTTTAATAGTTTCCATTCCAAATATTCGCTGATCCTTTTTTTTTTTTTTTTAACTTTCTCCATAGACCTCTCCATGCATTCACGTTTGCTGCGTGTAGTGCTTCTCTGGGCCTTTCTGTGTTATATTTTGGAACAAATGCTTTGACTGCTGCTCTTGGAGCAACTAATCTTATTCTGTACACAAGCATTTATACTCCACTTAAACGCTGCAGCATTGTTAATACGTGGCTTGGTTCAATTGTAGGTGCCATTCCACCTTTAATGGGCTGGTCTGCTTGCTGTGGAACATTAAATTCAGGTATGTTTGGCAGTAAGCTTTGTATTTCTCTTTTTAATACAGTAAAAAGTCCGTAATCCAGATGTCTGTTATCCGAAATGATCTATAATCTGGACCTCAAAGCCACAAACTTACGCATGTGCGTTTGATGCGCGCGTCCACTATGCAAGCGCATAAAGCTGGTAAAGTGTTTACCCATGCATGCTTCCGGTAGTGAAGAAAGTAATAGAGAACGTCATTGAAAACGAAAAAATTTCGATTGCCAAGTTAGTCGGTATTCTCGTTACAGGAATTACAAGACTTGAACAGTGGAACTTTGTAACTGAATAAGAAATTATGTCTGTTTATAGAATTAAAGAGAAAATATTAGCATAAAAAACGAAGCAACTTAAACAACTTACATTGAAAGAAATGTTTAATAAAGTAAACAAATAAATATTAAGCTTTTCTTTTGGTTTGTTTGTTTGTTTGTTTGTGTGTGTGTGTGTGTAAGTGTAAATTTTGATTCCCCTTTAGATCATAATTGCTCTTTATTTCATAAATTATGGTGTCATATTTTTAATTGTAATTTCTGCATGCCATCTTACCAGATTTAAATTGATTATCTATAATCCGGAAAAACCCCTAATCCAGAATCGCCGAAGTCCTGATGAGTCCGGATTACGGACTTTATACTGTATGCTATAATATAATATTAGTAATTGGTATAAAATTTCATTTGTACTCCAGAGCAGTGTGTAATTTTTATATGCTAAAATTTTCATGAATTTTGTGTGATAAATAAATAAGCAATATATTTTCCCTCTGTATTTCTTAATAATTTGTTGCATATTAGTTATTTTGTGTTAATGTGTATGTATTTGTTTATTGTTTATTTATTTTGTATGCTATTTGTATCATAATTGTTTTCAGGATTCTTGTAAGTAAAGCTTTATTACTGTAATATTAATTATACAAGGGGTTAGAAAAAGGTCATTTTTTGTTTTATTTTTATAAATGATAATCCTTTATAACTGAGCATATTCATTCAGTAGCAAAATAGGTGCTTTCTGCTTATCTGCATTCTGCAGTTTCAACATTCAGTTGAACATCTGTTTTTCAATATATTTTCAATTATACATGTGCAAACAGCCAGCTCATCTAAGCACATACCCATACACTTGTTTGAATGTACACAAAGGGAAAAAAGCAGTACAGAGTGTACAAAAAAAAAGGGGGGGACAGTTCTATATTTCCCATTCTACTGGGCCAATTGACAAAATTCAACTTGTGTTTTTCATGTCTCGAAAGCGTGACTTAGTATATGTATTAAATTTATATATAACATTGTTCTAATATAGGTATTTTGACACAAAATTGGACATTTTCTGAAATGACATGCCCTTTTTTTTTTTCCTTCATTTTTTTATTCTACGACTCAAATTATTAAAGTGCCAGGTTTTATAAAAATAATCACATGAGTAGTTTTTAAAAAATTGGCTTTCAAAATTATTTTAGCTCCTGCATGTTAATTGAATTCGAGATATATATATAATATATTAATCTGTCTTTTTTATTAAACTTATTTTATTATTCCTCTCACATTTTGAAATTTAGGTTCATTCTAAATAAAATTTGCCCATTTTTTATGATTTATTTTTAAAATTTGTATTTTTAAACAATTTTTATAAATTTTTTGAAAAAAATCTCAATTTATAATCTGTAAAATTTTTACCATCATCTTAAAGTAGATGTATTTCTAAGCATACCTGCAAAAATTTAGAGTTTTTTATTCAAAATTTTCGAAGATATACGTGAATTTACATATTGGCGCATTTTAAAATTTGGCATATTTGTTGAAAGCAATAAAACATCAAATGTGGTTTAGGCAATGTGTTAAAATTATTTGAAAGTATGAACGATGACTTTTTTCCGCTCGTTTACAATGGAAAAAAGGGAAAGAAAAACAGGTTGCTATAAATCAAGAACTTCATCAAATGAATTATTCTTGGCACAAGCTGAAAAAATTCGCAAAGATAAATTTTTGAATTTCTCAATAAATTTTGCACCAAATTTTACAAAATTTAATATTTAGGCATAATTTGGCTGTAGAATCAAAATATAGAAAAGGCATTGGCATGTCATTTCAGAAAAAAGTCTGGTTTTGTGTCAAAATACCTATATTAGAATAGTGCTATGTATAAATCTAATATATATCCTAAGTCATGATTTCGAAACATGAAAAATGCAATTTGAATTTCTTCAATTGGCCAAGTGGAATGGGAGATACAAAACTTTTTTTGGGGTGCACAGTGTACATGGATTTACAAACTTTACATTTAGTCGTCATTTCACTGAACAGTATCCACTGGTTGTATAAATGCAAATATTGAGCATACAATTTTTTAAGACGCAATAACATGCCGAATAAATACTAATTCAGAAGTCAAACAACAAAAATCTGCGTTATATTTTCAAAATTTTCACAGGACTAGTTTCGATGGTTTTTACCGAACCATCATCTTCAGCTGGTTTTTGCAGCTGAAGATGATGGTTCGGTAAAACCATCGAAACTAGTCCTGTGAAAATTTTGAAAATATAACGCAGATTTTTGTTGTTTGACTTCTGAATTAATACAGATTTTTGTTGCTTCTTAAATTTGAGAGAAAAATGTTGAATCATGATGGGTGGCAACAGGTGACAAAAAAATGATCTAAATCACTAAATTTGTTATGAAATATCTCCACATTATTACTGGTACTTCAGAAAAAAATCCCTGAAGATCTTAAACAAAAAATCATGTCTGCCTGTTGTCTAACATCCTGTCCTATTTTTGATGCCATAAGCTGTGTTTCAACTATGCTATGACTACCATCACAGTCAAGCTCCAATAAAGGCTGTGTTTCAGTTGAGCTCATGCTTAGTGCAATAAATCAGCTATATCTCAATATTGGTATTGGCAATCCTGCAGGGGAACTTTATGTGGTTAACAGATATGGATTTTTATGTCCTAATATCAAAGACATTGAACAATGTCAAAAATGGCTGCTAAGACAATCACATATTAGCCATTCTCTAATACTTCTTTGATGCAGGGAGTATTTCCTTATACAAAGAGCTGATTGTATATGAAGACGTTAAATCAAAAAAGAGAACAAAAACAGATTGCAATTATATTTCTCCATCATAATATGCAAGGCAATTATCATCTTTGATAATAATGTAAATGAAGTATATTAGCATTAAATAAGATTATATTAACATATAAGAAATCAAAAGAAAAAGACATTAGAAGTGTAATTAGGAAAAAGAATCATTTGAATTTTTCATCCTAACAGTATTTGTAGAAAATGTTATTTCTTGTACTAATGCAACGTCTTAGATTCTGTAAAGAAAATTAGGTGACTCAAATGAAACTTGTGAACACTTGAAAAGCACATTAATTAATTTATAAAATATAAAAAACAAATTTGATATTTATCTCTCATAAATTAATAGCTTAAAGGAAGCTAAGTGTATTGCAAATAAATGGTATAGGAAGAGAAAATATAAAAATAATGAGAAAAATCTTTTGATTATTTATGAAAAAATGACGGGCTTGAAAAACCTAAAGTGTGTTCTGAGATATGAAATTTTTATGCCACTTTCAGTATTTTAAATAATTCAGTTAAGAATTAAATTCACCAGAATGGTTGGATTGGATTGAATGATTTGAGTATGGTAAAGCACACAGAGACATTTTTAAGATAGAGCTGGTTCATTGTTAAATATAAAAAAACACCACGAAAATTAACATGCAACCATTCCATTGCCTAGGATTTGAACCCAGGTGTAATTTGAAATATTAAGCTCTTTTGCAACTTGGCTACTGGAATGGAATGAAAGAACAAAATATACTATGAGAACTTTATCATTTTTGGAGCCTAAAATTCTGTTATTGTTAACAAATGGAGAAATTAATGTGTTTCAGAAATTGTGCAGTGCGGAATCAGTTGTAAACTATAACTTTTGCATATTCAAGTTCAAACAGCTGAAAAAATGAATGTCCAGAAATTGGCAGAAATATAAATGCAAAATGCAAACAAATTTAGCATTAGAATTTATGAAGCATATCAATCAGCTACATTAATATCATAATTATCAAAAAAAAAGTGAAGAAGTGAAATATGAACCAAGACAAGTTACAAGTTCAAGAGGGACATAATATCTGTATATGAAAATTATGTATTCAATCCAGTTATGATTTGGAAGTTTAAAATATAAGTGTGTTTTAAAATAGGCAATGTATAATTCATGCTATAAAAAGCATTCATATCTCTCTCCTCCTTGTAAATTAGATCTGGATGTATTGTTTGCATAGTTTTTTAAAAGTGGAATTATCTGTCTTCCAGTAAGCTACCCAATTACTTATCTGTCTTCCACTTACATTCTCATATTATGCTATTAATCTTTCATTTCCAAGTGGGAAAAAAAATCTTGAAAAAAATGATTCCAAAAGGCAAAGCTGGATTAAGAATATCTGATGCATTGACCATTGCATGATCCAGGCCACAAATCTTTTAACTTTCGTCAACCTGAATGTAAAGAGGTCAATTCAGAGTTTAAAATGGCTTTTCCATGTCTACCTTGGTGACCTAAACATGTGCTTATATAGCTCAATAGTTAATTCAACCCAGCCAGAAGCCATTACTCAAAATGTTTGTTCTTGGGATCTTTGAATTTTTTTGCTTTTCATATTTTGTCTTTCTTTACAAAAGTTTTAGATCAATACAGGAACCTGTAATTTGTTACATGCAAGTCTGAACCTATATGTGCATTCCTAGTTATGCCACTGATAGGAAACCATAATAAAGGCTTTGATTTTGTCCTTATAATGTTCTTAGCCCACAGTATTGATGCTGTTCTCATAAAATTTTCTGTTTTATTTTGAGAAGCTTTGTATTTGTTTAAGTACATAATTAGAAGCAATATTTAAGGAAGTAAAACTTTTAATTACCCTTTTTAAATACCTTGTATAATTATAAATGATTTTTTTAGAACACAGGATTAAACAGTAATCACCTGGCTAGGAAATATTTATTAAGTGATAATAAATCTCATGACTGTTTAAAAGCAGCTGTTTCATTTGATAGGAATTAACTCTATTTTATTATTAGATAAAAGAAGTTATATTTTCCACTTGCTGCATATTTTTTTATGTATTGCATATAGAATAATAATGCAAAAAAAAAAAAAATTCTTAGCCATGTGATATATATATAAAAATGTAACTTCCTTTTTTACCATTGTATATTAAAATTGCATAAGAAATAAAGTTATTGTGTGATATTGTTGAATACAATTTGAAACAATGTAGTATATATCATAATAATGTAAGGACTAATCATAACTGATTCGGAGAGAAAGTGTATCTTTTTTAGTGCTCTTTTATAATCTTATATTAAAAAAATAAAATTAATATAATCTAAGTGTAATACTAAATTCAAAGTCATTTATGAATATTTACAGCCTTGTTAATGTGAAATACCATTTGATACTATTTAAAACTGTTCAAATAGTGATCCGTTTATTTTTTATCTATACAAAATATGTCAAAGTCAAAATAGATAAAATAATAATAATAGCATTTTTTTTCTGTTACTTTAGGAGCACTTCTAATGGGGGCTATCCTATATGCATGGCAATTCCCTCACTTTAATGCTCTTTCTTGGAATCTTAGACCTGATTATTCACGAGCAGGATATCGTATGACATCAGTTATAGATCCTGGACTCTGCAGACGTTCAGCTCTTCGCCATAGTATTGCCTTATTAGCCATGTGTTCAGCTGCCCCACTTTTAGATTTGACTGCTTGGTCATTTGCATTTGATTCTCTACCACTGAATTGTTACTTAATTTATTTAGCTTGGAAATTTTACAAAAACGGAGATAGTCAGACATCACGAAATTTATTTCGTTTCAGTTTAATTCACCTTCCAGTTATAATGCTTTTAATGCTTGTGGGCAAATATGCCAAAGACAAAGACAAAAGTGAAAGCAAATTATGATAAAATGTTTATTGTAGTTTAATTTTTAATTATGGTTTTAAAATTAAACCAGTTACTGTGAGAAACTAGTGATCTATGTAAATACATAAGTAAACTGTACATAGATAACTTTGTAGATACCTAACATATTTACTAAGATTATTCAATGACTTCCATATGAAATTTTAATGATAACTTTTCAATTGCATTTATGATGTGCGAAATAAATTCCGGTATTATTTCTTAATCCATTGACAACAGAGATTTTTGATGCAAAAAGATGTTATTATATGACTATCAGCTGAACATTTTTGTGTTGGTAAGAGATTGTAAACAATCAGTGGAAGATAAAAATGTTCTACCTTTGAATAAAAATATTTTTAAATGGCCCTAGAGTGATAATCAATCATCTAAGAACTGTAATCTGCAAACCTTATGCTCTTTTTTCATGTTTTTTCATGTATGTTTTACTCTTTTTTCTGTTTTGTAAAGGGATGTTCCAAATTCTTAATTATGTAATGAAACCTCTTAATACCATATTACTCAAAAATAAGACCTTCTGTACATATTAGAATAGATTTTACAAAATTGAAATGTAGGTGAATTTTTATATTTGAATAGTGTATTTCATATGTATGTTTCATACCTATGTGTGATTATAATATCTGTATACAGTCAAAAGTCATTAATCTGGGCACCCATAATCCGGACCTCAAAGCTACAAACTTTCTGCGCATGCGTCATTGCATAATGGGTTCACACAAGTGCGAAATACCTTTACGCATGCTCATGTACGTGTGCGCATGCTCATAATACGTTTACGCATGTGCGTTTAATGTATAATGGACGGTATAAGCTAATCTAAAATTATCTAATTATCTATTTCAGTTAATGTTGCAGACTGCGTTGTTCCATAATTTTCGAATTGCATCTGGCTTATTATTTTTTGCAGACTGTAAGAGCAATTTTATAAAAGTAAGCTTGAACTTTCGATTATGTCAAATAGAATTTCCGTTGCTGGAGCTGCCAAAGGATCTGCAAAGCGAAAGCATGTTTCGATGTCCATTAAACAAAAAGTGGAACTGCTGCAAAAAATGGATAAAGGCATGAAGAAAGTGACAGAGAGGTGATTTGTTTCTCTAACCATTCCGAAATCTGTTTATCAATTTCACTTTGCTCTGCGGAAGGGGGGACAATGCGCAATGAACTGGAAGTTGATCTGTCAGCACTGTCCTCATCTTCGGGGCAGATTTTTTTATTTTATTCGGCTTATAATTCCTCACTAAATGTAGTGTTTCATCTCGATGTATTCCGATATAATTTAAATCAATGTCCTCGTTATTATAAATATCACGAATACACATCAAATAGTTTTCTGGTTGCAATTTTCTAATTTCGACTATGCGTAATGTATGCTTTACGCATGCGTGAGTTGAAAGAAATGTTTAATAAAGTAAACAAATAAATATTAAGCTTTTTTTTTTTTTTTTAAATTTTGATACCTTTTAGATCATAATTGCTCTTTATTTCATAAATTACAGTTTCATATTTTTAATTTTATAATTTCTGCATGCCATCTTACCAGATTTAAACTGATGATCTATAATCCGGAATCGCCGAAGTCCCGATGAGTCCGGATTAAAGACTTTTGACTGTAGTATGATAGTTAAATGCCTTCCCCTCATTCTGCTGCTTCATTTTATCAAAATAAGTTTATGTTTGCTGATTGTTTTAATGTCCTAAACCTGACATTAGAGGAAAGGCAGAAGATAATAAAGGATGAGAAATGTTGTTTTGAACTCCCTGTTCCTGATCATTCAGTTAGAAAGCGTCACATGTTTTTAAAATGTGTCATTTGTAGTCAGAAATGTTCCTTTGGTGTGTGATCAATTCCAGATTTTCAACCAGATTAATCAGAAGAAAGAAGAAAAAAAATTTCCAGGTAAAGATATTAATTTATCAAACATAAGTTCAAATCACAAATATGTTTTCAGATTTTTAAAGCCAACCTTATCTCTGGTGATAAAGAGAGAATAGTTTCTAGTGCTATGTGATACTGGCTTACAAAGGTTGTACATTTTAAGGCAGTGATGGCGAACCTATGGCATGTGTGCCACAGTCGGCACGCAGAGCCTCATCAGCCAGCATGCGATAAAATATTACTTCTTTAATCAATAATCACAAAAAAGATACTATGCAATTTAAGTAAGTGTAGTCTGTTCTTGAATGTTTTACTTACTTACTTATCGCATAATACCCCTGTCATAGGACCTACGTCTAGACATAAGATTTTCATATATCACCATAGAAATGATATACATATTTATAGACCCAATTTATGACGTTTCAATTGTTTAAGCCAATCATATTACTTGTTGCATGGCAAAGAATATGCCGACATTGAAGCTGCTAATGTTTGCAAAACAAATTCAAATTTATTGCAGACTGCCAGTGAGGTTGAATACTTTCATTTTTAAGTAGATTCTAGTTTCCAGATCTAAACATTTTGAGGTAACTTATGAATAATTCTAATTTAATTTCTTAAATGGAATGGCACGCGGCCATTCCATTTTGGGCGCGCAGCCCCCCCCCTCAAAAGATTTGCCACCACTGTTTTAAGGGATATTGCACTGTTACAAAATAAAGTTAAAACAAGTAAATAGAAATTTCATGTGTGGTTTTGAAGTCTTGGACTAATATATTATATTTGAAGGTGTACTACCAATAAGTAGATGCTGTTGGTTGGAGGAAGTTAAACATTGTTTAACTGATACTAACCCCTCTTATGAACCAGTGCAAGTCACTGGAGCAGATATTATTGGTAGGCTTTTGACTGGTGAAAGAAAAATATTAGCCTCAGGTTTAGTTGCAGTTGAAACCCAGATGGACACTTTTGGATAATGTCCTACAAGTGGCTATTACAAACGAAAACTTGCAGTGATTGTAACATCGCTGCTAGTGAAGGAAATGAAAATTCCTGATCTGTGGACAGATGTCAGATGTCATTAGATCAAGGATCCCATGGAGAAAAAGTCAAAACTGGAGACAGACCTAAAACTTACAGTACACTTTCTAGAAACAATGAAATTTAATTGAGATAATCATCACAAAGTTTGTTTGCCGTGAGCTGAAGATGGTTCTCCTTTGCCTGATAACTTCAGCCTCCCCGAGAAAAGATTTGGAGTGGCAACTATAAAACTCTTGTCCTGTAGGATTTCCCTTAGTTTGCATATAAAATTATTTTAAGTTTGGTATCTTTCCTGAACCTCTCATTTCCTCAACAGGAGGCAAATTAAAGTTAAGTGAAGAGAGTATAAAAACAGATGAAATTTGAAGTTTATTCAGAGCGTAATTTCGCTAGCCAGCGCACATTACTATTTTGTCCTTGCTGCTGTTACACTGAGTTGCTGATATGCCATTTAATAAGTATATCATCAAATAGGTTATTGAATCAGCCTAGTTAGCCTTAAACTAAAATTGTGAGTCCAGCACTACTACTTTGAATTTATTTTTACATTATTCTTAAGTTCCCACCACAAGTCGTTGGTGTTATTATGAGCACGAAGTACATGCATTTGTGTTAAGAATTTGACGAATTATTAAAGGGTTTGTTTAACCTTCTTGTGTGCCAGTATTATTCACGCCTGTGCGAGAAGTTGCTAGGTTTCTTCGTAAGATCACTTTAACTGTATGACAATATGATAGCTAAGAAGGTTAGATCTTATAGTCCCATAATTTGTATGACAAATATAAAAATGTTTTTCTGGGAAGGTTTGATGAAGGACATTGAAGAGGTTTCTTCAAATGAAATGATTTTTATGGAAACTACTTACTTCATCAATCTGTTATAAAAGAACTAGGGACAGGGAGTGGATGGAGCATCAGAACTTCCCCTATGGATTTATGGGTTTTGCTCCATTGCATTACTGTCTGAGCATAACATCCATCAGGAGGTATATTGCTCCCCGCCTCAGAGCCATAAAAGAAACCACCAATTCAATGCCAATTCGATCAAATGTTTGATGCATCAGCAAAGTTGTGAAATCACCTTTTCTTCAACCAGTGTCTGCACTGTAAGCGAGGTCTTATCAAATTATTTCCAGACATTCTATGTCAATTTAGAAAGAAGTTTGGCATTACAGCAGATATTAGAATCTGCCAATAAGCGTTTGCAAAGAGGACAGAGACTTTTTTTTTTTTTTTTTTTTTTTTTTTTTTTTTAGGGAAATTTAGAAGAGAAGAAACTTGGATGTTTTGCTATGCAAGAGTTTGTTAGCAATCTCATGAAATTCTAAGTGCGCATTTGATACTAGCTCTTACGTAGAATTTACAATTTTACAAAGAGTTTTCTATGAGCTAGGATCAGGACTTTGCATGAGCTATCACTTAGTTTTAAGGAGTTTGCTGACATATTTTCTTTGCTAGAATCCCTCTTTGTGCAGAATTGCTATATAATCAATATATTGTTGAAAATGTATTGTTATTAATATAAATGATAGAATCAATTAAAAATAATGAGAGATTAAATAATTAAAAATAATGACGTATTAATAACAAAAAATGATACCAAAAATGTAAAGAAAATAAATTAAAACTGATGTCATTCCAAACGCATGTTTCAAGAAGACCGAAATCCGAAAAATTCGTCGTTGCCACAAAAATAAAAACTTAAAACAATACTGTCTTTACCACGTAAAATAAGACTATCATCATGGACCATATAAGAGATAGACTAACCCAGTGGGCGGGGCGCGCGTCACCGACATGTCGGCAAGAAAGAGTAGGGACGATCTGGTTTACTTTAACACTGAAACCTATGGCGTTTGTATCACATAAATCTTTTTAATTATTAAATGTGATACGTTGTATAGTGATGAGATTATGAAAGCCACAATTTTTTCCAAATAGGATTTAATATATCTCATTAAAGCACCTTTTACCGCATTTCGCCCATTTTTTTTAATCGTAACTCTTGTACAAACATCTTTACTTTGGTAAAACGGTAAAAACTCTAAGCACAAAATTTATGAATTTAATTTTGCGTAAAAATAAAGTAAAATTAAATAAGATTGTTAGTACGCGATGCTTTGAAATAAATAAGGTAAAATTAAACAAGATCTGATAAATTTTTTAATTTAATGAACATTTTCAGACAGGGATTTTCCAAACTATAATAACATTACAAAACGATCATATTTATTTGATTATATGATCATTAAATTATTAACATTAAAGTGGATTAGTTATTTTAATAATTCATAAAATTCGGAACGTAAAATTTTCTGAGCGTAATGAAGGAAAAAATAAAATAAAATAAAATCTAGAAGCACTCAGATTTTATATTACGCCCAAAAGGAATCTTTTTTTTAAGTTTGTGTGTTACCTATATT